GTGGCATACGATGAAACTGTTCTAAGTAAAAAAAATGTTTACAAGTGGTACAAACTCTTTCAAGATGGCCGGGAAGATGCCAATGACGAGCCTCGCTCTGGACGTCCAAGCACGTCAACAACTGATGAAAACGTTCAAGCAGTGAAGAAAATTGTTCTGGAAAATCGTCGAATCACTATCAGAGAAGTTTCTGAGGATGTTGGTATATCGCTTGGCTCGTGCCAAGAAATTTTTTCTAACGTTTTGGGCATGAGACGTGTGTTAGCGAAGTTTGTTCCGAAAAAGCTAAATTTTGACCAAAAGAATCGTCGCATGAGCATCGCTCAAGAACTGTTGAATGACGTCAACGACGACCCAGATTTACTCAAAAGGGTCATAACTGGTGATGAATCATGGGTATATGGTTATGATATCGAAACCAAAGTCCAATCATCCCAATGGAAGAGCCCAGATGAGCCAAGACCGAAAAAAGCACGCCAAGTTCGATCAAATGTCAAAGTTTTGCTCACTGTTTTCTTCGATTACCATGGCGTGGTGCATCAGGAGTTCTTACCATATGAACGTACGGTCAATAAACAGTATTATCTTGAAGTTATGCGCCGTTTGCGGGAAGCAATACGAAGAAAACGCCCAGAATTGTGGAAAAACAATTCATGGCTTTTGCATCACGATAATGCCCCTGCTCACTCATCTTTGCTTGTGAGAGATTTTTTGGCCAAAAACAACACCACAATCATGCCTCAGCCACCATATTCACCGGATTTGGCCCCATGTGACTTTTTCTTGTTCCCAAAACTAAAGAGACCTATGAAAGGACGGAGATTTGCAACGATTGAAGAGATAAAGACTGCATCGCTGGAAGAGCTCAAGGCTATATCGAAAAGTGCTTATGAGAAGTGCTTTGAGGATTGGAAAAATCGTTGGCATAAGTGTATTGTATCTGAGGAGGATTACTTTGAAGGGGACAACATAAATATTGATAAATAAGTAAATATTTTTTCTTAAAAATACAAAGTCACCTTACTTTTTGAACACACCTCGTATTTGGCTGAAACTTTATTTTTGTTTCAATAGTTTTTTGTATGCTCAAGTTCTTACCAATTATGATATTGCGGAATATTTCGTTTAACGTGCGATGGTTTATATTTAATTACGGCATTCTAAAACCTGTTGACTTTATATTTTTCTTGGCTGTTATAATCATGTTCTATTTTTACAGTGAACAGCGTAGTGGTATCTTAACGGTAGTAGTCATATGATACCGATTATTTCGGTTGTTTAATACTCTATAACTTTCTCTTTCTTAATACTTAATACACATTCCGTGGACTTTTGCGGCAGATGTTATCTCTTTAATATCAACTAAAGGGTGTATATTTCTCAATATTACATTAAATCTCTCATCTTCTTCACGTTTGCTCTCCACATATATAAAACGATGACTGAACTCTCTAGTAAGAAGATAAATATGATAAGTTGGTCTATATAATAACTTAATAAAAAATCTTATATAACATAATACTGAAAGTTATCCTCGTGTTGATGATTAAGCAATGCTTACTCCGCGATGATTACAACTGGAACCACAATGATAAATTTCGACATCCTTCCTGTCCTTCCCTCCATTCATTCAGATTTTTACTAGAAGAAACAGTCGAACGTAAAGCACGAATACTAAATCCATAAAATGTGAGATCAACAAATTTTCCATAAATCTTAATATTGTGGCGGAGAATTTCGGGGGGTCTAAGCTGTACACTCGAAGTGCTTTCGCCACAAGGCTTGAGTGGCCCTTTCTCCTCGATTAATTAATAGGGCGCCAGACCGCCCTACCTAATTAGAGCGATCGTCAGGGATAGGGCCAGAATATCGCGACGTATTTCTGTTCGCCCATGGTGCGACTGCGCAGAGTGGGCAGGTATACGTTGTCCCGCGATTTCCTTGGATTCAGGCCGTTAGTGTCCAACAATTTGTTTCCTTCCGTTCTCTCGTAGCCGTAAAATGCCGGCAGCTCAGGTTGTGACTCTTTATCTTCCCGATATTAACCGTCCACGGCTGAAAATAATGTTAGTATGCAGGGAAGGGAGGGTAATATGACGCAAAATTATGAAAATTGGTCACTCTTAATTTTCATTTATTTCAAACTACGTGTACAAAAGCGGTCTAATTAGCGGATAGTCAGTGAAACTCGACACAACTCAATACACAGTGGTACGGATCTACACGTCCCGGCGAATTAAATCTGCGACGATCTATACTTCTGATCTCTGACTTGGAAACCGTGATTCCCTAGTCCACTATCTAAATTCTGTTACTCTCTCCTAGCACGACAAATTTGAAGAAACGGCGAAAAGTCAGCGCGACTTAACTAAGACTAGCATTCTCTTCGTTTGATCTTTAATTAAAAAAATGGCGAAATGGTCAGCGTGACGTAGCTGAAGCACTCAAATACTGTTCGATTAGATCTAGCACTCAGGTTAAATTTTAATAAACGGGCAAATGGTCAGCGCGAAGTAACTAAAGCACTAAAATACTTTTCGCTTAACTTTAACACTCACGTCAATTCGGAGAAATGGCGGAATGGTCAGTTCGAATTAACTGAAGCACTAAAATACCGGCGTCGATGGATCCACGCGTCACGGCGATCTATTAGCCCTAGAAAACTCACGCCCGCGCTTCACAATTACTTTAGGTGGGTGGCACTTTGCCTACTTACGAATTTCTGTGGTCAAAGATCAGCTTTCCTCTCCTGTTTCCGAAAAGAAATCCTATTATTGGCTGATATGCTAATTCGGATATCGATAGCGCCCTCCGAATATTTTATCAGTGGTCAATATCTAAATTAGAAAGGTACAGCGCCCTCATTTTATCTCCTAATTTCGTCGCTATTTACCCTCTCTCACCCCCACTAAGTTAGTTAGCATTGATTGGTGAGAAAGATCTACCCCTACTCTTATCTATTTTTCGATGCGGACGAAAATCAAATTTCATTCTAATTCGCTTATTGATCGTGACGTCACCAGCGAGTTTCGTCAGAAGTTCGAATTTCGTCAATCAATTTGTCAATTTAATTCGTCAAATTGTTTGTCGCTTATTATTCTATGTAAGGGATTGTAGAGGTCGCATACAAATAATTATGTATTTTAATGTTTCATATCTAAGTTACATTGTTAAATTATTTTGCAAATAATAAAATAATTAAAGTCGGTTTTGTCATCATCGCATTTACATTTGAATCTATAATACTTATTAGTTCGCTCGCTTCATACGGTCTGTCTCGCTCGCTCAATTTGAGTCTATCTCGCTCGCTCATGTTTAGTCTAACTCAGCGCTTCAAAATGGCCGCCCGCTCTCTCACGCGTGCACCTCGTGTCTCGGTACCAGCCTTTGAAGCGCCTCCTGGGGCGCTGCCTTTTCGGTTATGTGACATGTCTGTCTCCGGGTGCCACTAGTGATCAGCAGCAGTGTATATGTGTGTGTGGCGTTCAAGATGTCGCCAATGGTACTCAGCAGCCTGACACAGTTGATTGCCGGCTGCTGCTTCATCGGCGATTTTCTATTCGCCCCAGGTGTGCCAGCGTTCTCTAAGTGTGAGTGTTAGTGTCTGAGAGTGTAACGGGCCTGCATGTATCATCAACATGCATTTCCGCTGCATTTCCCAGTCAAGTTTTCCGTGTTTTCTCTCCGGTCGGCAACACGTGGTCGTAAGTATGTGTGTACGTGCGCTCTCTTTTTCTCATAGTGCGCTCCATTTTTTCGAGCATCCATCGGATCGCGTTCGTCTACTTGTTTCGTGGATTTCTCCGGTTTAGGTGAACAGATATGGAAAATAATCAGTGTTTGAATGAGGACGCGTATAGGTTAATATTATACGGCTGGTTACGGGACGGCAAGGGACGGAGATGACTTTCCTGAGGTGTTGCAAATAATGCAACACTCTCAGGCAAAACCGTGTAATATACCGCATTACAGTATAACTTACACTTAGAAACAGTTTTTGATCATGAGTTAGGTGGTCATTAGTACTTAAATTCACTCCATAATAGAGATACTCATGAAGACGAGAATATAATAAATTAAATAAATATCGGGCAAAAGCAGATTTATTACTGCTTCAAAAAGGATGTTTGAGAGAGTTTTTGTTTTAATTATCGTAACGATAGCTACTGGACAGTAGTCACGATGAGTAAATAAAATCAACACACAGTGTTTTTTGCTCTTGTTTGATTAGTGATACCAAAAAAATATCATAACCTCAAATGCAATAAGACGAGTCGTATAGGTTAATAATTTGATCACGATTAAAATCTAGTATGGTCACAGCTTGAGTGACTGTTTATATTATATTGCGTGGTATATATATACTTGGTTTTGATGAGTCTTTAACTTCGCATAAATTTAGAGCAAGATGAATTGATACCACGACCTAGCCTTTTTTTGAATTATGTTATTTGAGTAAACGAAGTGTAATACAATTTATAAAAATATGAGTACTAGTAACATAATACACTTTTACTAACTACACCATTATGAAATACATAACCCAATCGAGCATTATTTTCATGGATCTTTATTTAATAGATAAAGATTTCAACAAACTGAATAATCCATGTCATTTTAATGCAATAAGTAATCCATAAATATATTAGATTTTCAGTATAGAAGTCTTCAAGTCAACTAATGCTTCTTGTTATTTATCAGTGTTTTAAACTTTTTGCTTATCATACAGCATAAGATAGATTTTTTGTTTTATCGGAATAGATCAAAAATCACAATATGCTCTCTAAGTAAATAAAATTATATAGAAAAAGTTTGTTTCAAGCATATATGATGTTCCGAAGAAAATCTTATTCACATGGTTTAAATTATTAGAGATTAGTATTAATTTAGTATTAAAACTTCCAAATATCTATTCATGTATGAATTTCATTATTATACATTTATTTCATGAATTTTTTTATGAATATTAAAAATTTATAATTAATTTTTTCTAATTACAGTCATGTCTGCAAATAATTTGAAGTGGCCCTTGGCTAGTGGCATGTTTAAACCATTTGTAGAAGTAAATCTTATAGGACCAAATTTAGCTGATAAGAAGAGAAAACAAGCAACAAAGTCTAAAAATAATACCCTATCACCCAAATACAATGAAACATTCTACTTGTAAGTAACTCTAATATAAGATGATTCTTTTCTAATATTAGTTAACATTTAATCGTTATGTTGTAGTGATGATAATTCAATTCAAGTTACAACTATTTACTGTGAGATACTGTATAGCCTATCAATGTTTGTTGCCACGTTATATAAAATAAGTGTTCATATATCTACATATATATATATATATATATATATGAACGGATATAGAATTATAATAATTAATAATAATAATATATGAACTATACGTATTAAAATAAGAGGTGTGTGGTTGGATCGTAAAAGAAGCTTAAAGACGTTACGTGATTAGAACTTACAATTTATTTAACCAATAACATGTACATGACCCGAAGGTCGGCGCACTACGTGCCGTCGGGAGCAAGAGCCGAATTCTTTCTATCGTGCGTATACGACGCGATGCTCGCGGACTCTTCAACGTACAGTGTCGCTCAGTCATATATTTATTCATACAAGTATAACTAAGATAAATTTATTCATAACTCAACACGCCTCCTTAAATTTAGCTTGCCAAACGATTCTCATATTACATTTTTTATTTGATTATTATGATAAACTAACATTAATTTACATTTTCTCTACACTTTTCAAACTTAATTCGTCCTAAGGACTTTGTAAAAATATCGTCAGTATTTTTCTCAGAGTGTATTTTCATTACAACAATTTCTCTATTCAAATAACTTTCGTTTACAAAGTGGTCATGAGTCTTTATGTATTTTGAATTCTTCGTTGAATTTCAAAATTCACTTATACTTATCGCGCCACTATTATCTTTATATATACATATTGGATTTTTAATCTCAATTTCAAAAACATTTAACAATTTCTTAATTAACTTAATTTCGCTTACACATATTAATAGTGCTTACATACTCTACTTCGGTAGATGACTTAGTTACAATATTTTGTTTCTTTGATTTCCAATATATAGGGTTTTCGTTCATTCTTATCAATTAACCCGTTGTAGATTTTTCGACAATAATATCTCCTGCCCAATCAGCATCAACAAAACGTAATATATCAGCTTTTAAGTCTTTCTTAAATTCTAACTTTAATTCTTTAGTATAATACAAATATTGTAATATTCTAAGGAAGTATTTAAAGTAACTATCATCATAACAATTTTGGAATCTACTTAGATAATTTACAGAATAACATATATCTGGTCTAGTATTTGAACTAATGTATAGTAGTGCTCCTATTAGATTTCTATAGTTTACATTACTTGGTTCTGATATCGCAGGTTCACATTTTTAATTTTGCTTCACTGGAGTCGCATATAATTTCGCATTTTCTATTACATATTTTTTTGCCAATGATTTCATATAATTTTCTTAATCTAACATTAAACGATGATTACGTTAATCATAATTAATATTTATTTCTAGATATGTTTTTACTTGACCCATATCTTTCGTTCGAAATTTTTCAGCTAAGTTCTTTTTGTCACGTCGATACTAAGAAAACATACGTGACGAACCATGATAAGAAATTAAATGTCACGAGAACACACATAACGAGTTATGGTAACTAATCGGGTGTCGGTAATTTAACTTCCTACCGTATCAACCTTTCCGGGAACATTTGTAAATCTATATTACGAGATAGATTAGGCTAAGCACGTTCTCCATAATATTTCCGCGAATATTACTCACCGCATATTAATTAGGCAAAACAAGGGGAGGGGCACATCAGCCTATGGTATAACAAGGCTGGATCAGAATCCGCGGTACCTCATATTCACGCTAGTACTCATACATACTCATACTTATACTGATTTAGTTATTTCTAAGTTTCGCTGCCCGGCAACTCAGAACCGGAATAGTACTCTGCTAAGCATTATAAACTTGTCTTTAAACAATAAATCTTAATCAAGTGCAAACACCTGAGGCTGTTTAGTAAAATCTCTTCTGAAATCCAGTCCTAACAAGGTAAGAAACTAAGTTATCTACCTAAATATACTACATATAATAGAGGCGCTATCCCTTTAACCAACCTTAACTCCTGACTAAGATCCAACTTTTACCAACGCGACAGTATTTTAAACATTATTACGTCTAGCCATAACATCTCCTCGCCTAGACATAACATTTTGAATAGATTCTAATAATTTTCTGTCTTTACTACAGATTAATAAATCATCAGCAAAAATTATCAAATAAACCTTTTCATCATTAACTTCTATGAAATACAAATAATAATCAATTTTACTTTTCTCAAATCCTAAACCTATTAAATATTCGTCTAGGCATTCATACCATGCGCGTGAACTTTCGTGTAGTTCGTACTGTACTTTCTTGAGTTTACACACTCTCCCCGTGTTATCATCGTAACCTTGGGACTGTCTCACATATACTTCGGACTTTATTTTTCCATTAGGGAATGTGGACTCAACATCCATTTGGTCTATTTCTAAATCTTTTTGTAAACAGTAATTTAACAGAATCTTTAGTGTTTGTGTTCTCGCAACAGGTGAATAAAAATTTTCAACTATTTCGCTTTGTTAAAAGCCTCTTACTACAATTCTGGCCTTCAATTTGTTATCAGCCTTATTTGTACAGGGTGATTCAGAAGGATTATAGTTCCCGAAAATGGGTTGTAGAACAAAATTTTCTGAATCGATTGCCGTTTTCAAAAAATTTTTATCATCAATACTTTCCGAGAAAATTAATTTCAAAAATTAATAATTTCAACCAATCAGAGCGTCGTTTCGGTCGACTACCAAATTTCTCCTCTTTTGCTGTTTTCCCCTCCACTTGGCCGTAGCAACCGAAGCGGTGATTGAGACGACGCGGTAACTAACATTGCAAAATATCATTGGTTGCTTAGCAGCGCATAGAAGAAAGAATCGCCTTGTAAAGATGTCATTTTCTTAGAATAAACTGTCTAACAATGTCTTATAATTTATTTTTTTTATAACTTTATAACAAACATATACATTTAAAGTAATTTTACGTAATTTTATAATAATTTTACGTAATAAGCGTACGAAAGTACGCAACTTAGATGTCGATCTTGGCAATATTTTGCCACTTTAATTCGAATGAAACCTTTTTCATTCAAAAGGTCATGATAAGATGTGTTCACGAATCTTTTTCTGACGCTCGGAAAAGCCTCTGACATTAACCGGAGAAGAGAGGGAGAAAGCCGTGCGGCCGCACACTCGTGAGTATCCACCTTCAATCGCGTTTTTGGCAATGTTTTGCCACTGTTATTTGAATGAAATCTATTTCATTCGAATGATCATAGAGGAGAGAGGCTGTAAAATTTTGCCGGCGCTCCGAAAAGCCTCTGACATTAACCAGAGAGGAGAGAGGGAAAGTTTTATCATTTATTTTTGTTAATAACTTTATAACAATCATATAAATTAACAGTAATTTTTCTAATCAATTCAAAAGTGATTCTTTTAGTTATTACTAGAAATACAAATAAAGAGCATTTAAGTAAAAATTTAATACTGAGACTTTTTATTTTCAAATATTGCTTATTGAGTGAGATTAATTGTATCTCGCTCACCATTCGGTATTACTGACGGTGACATTACTATTCGTCAAACTTTTGCCGACACTCCGAAAAGCCTGTTACATTAGCTGCAGAGGAGAGGGGAAATACGCGCGGACAAGCGTACGAAAATACGCGACTTCGATGTCGATTTTGGAAATTTTTTACCATTTCTATCAGAATAAAACTTTTTTTCTTTATCATTCGCTGTTATTTATAAAAAATATTTTGAATCAATTATTTAACAATTTTTTATTTTAAAAAATTCAAAGTACAAAAAAAACATAAACTTCATAAATTAAAATCTTGAATTTTGACGGAAACTTTTGTATTTAAAATTAAATATCAGAACATGTTTATTAAAAAATTTGATGCGTTTTTGTTGTCAAAGTTTTTTTTTTACAAACATGTGGTGGCGCTATCCTTTACAATAAGTTTCATCATAGTGTGTAACCAATTTTGTTTAAGTTGCGTTCGGTGCGAATAAAAGTGGCAATTTTTAAATTACATTCCGGCATTAATTATGGGTGATCACGGGGGTCGTGGCGGTAAAGGTGGAGGTCGAGCTGGAGGTTGTGCGGGTGGCCGAGGAAGGCCTGTCGGTCGTGGTGCACCGTATACGGGGGCAGAGTATACGGAGATGATTATTTTTTACGGCGAGGCCGGGCGCAATGCTAACGAAGCCGCGCGTTTGTACACGGCTGCGTTGGACCGCAGGAACCCGCCTGATTTAAGGCGTCCGGATGCAAATGTCATTTTGGAAGCGGTATATCGTGGTCGAGAGAACGGCAACCTCATTTCCCTTGCTCATCAAGGTGCTGGACAAGGAGTATTCGGTGCTCCACGTGTTAAACGCAACGTGGAAAATGAAGAAAATGTATTAGAGTGTTTAGAAGAGGATCCGACTAGGAGCATTAAAAACGCGGCAGGCATGCTGAATCTAACCTACTCCACGGTAAGTAACATATATTATGTTCAGGTGAGGTGGGTGAAAATAATCGACTCATGATTCAATATTTATAACACTCTAGATTTATTTAATTTCACAAATACAAGGAACCGTTTGACGATGAATATTACAAAAAACAAGCAATTTAAAACTACGAGAATATTACAGATATAAAAACAAAAAGAACGCTTATGCAACAAAATAGGTAAACTTTGAATTACTCAAAAATCGCGGAATCGAGAAAAGATCCATAAAACGTCTGGAAGGTGTCCGGCCATCCCTCGCTAAATTTACGCGAAGTCGCCTCTAAAATCGCTAAAGTCCGTTCGTTGTTTTTGTCTCTCGATTCGGTTTTAACTACTCCGTAATTTTCCATTTCTATATAGTCATGAACTAATTTTTCTAATTCCGTGAGCTTTTGTTGTTCCGTCATCTCCTCCTCGGTAGCGATAAAACATTTCGCGAGTATTTGCGAATCTCTGTTTCGAATTCTGCCTGTTTTCGATGTATCCGTGTACCAACCAGCCCGATCGCGTGT